CACTGGCAGCACTCTTCCTAAAGAGCCTGCGACAGTTCAGCAGGCTCTGGGGGGGGAACACAGGGAGAAATAGCGTGAAGCCATGGACAGGGAATTAAAGGCACTGGAGGAACGCAACACCTGGAAGGTCGTTCCCGCAAGCGTGGCACGGAACAAGACCATTCTCACCGGGAAATGGGTCTTCCGCATCAAGACGAAAGCTGACGGCACAATCGAGAAATTCAAAGCACGCTGGGTCGTGCGTGGATTCGACCAGGAACAAGGACGAGACTTCACCGAGACCTTCGCCCCAGTTAGTCGACATACCTCTCTCCGCATTCTTCTCGCCGTTGCCGCCATGAAGAAGAAGAAGCTGCGATAGATCGATGTCGCCAACGCATTCCTCTACACACCCGTCGACGCCGAAATCTTCGTCGAACTCCCACACGGCACTCACGGAAACCCCAACCAAGTCTGTCAACTACTGAAATCGCTCTACGGAATCAAACAAGCCCCGCGACTGTGGCAACAGCACCTACACACCTGCCTCACCCGCATCGGATTCCGACAGCTGCCTCACGACCAAGGAATGTATCGCCTCACCATAGGTGCAGACTACATCTTGCTGATCGTCTACGTCGACGACTTGCTTTACATCGGCTCCACCGACGACGTCATCACTTGGTTCGAAGGGGAGCTGCAGAAGGACCTCCCGCTCACCGTCTCCTCCACCGTCACCCAGTATCTCGGGCTCAACATCCGCGAAGAAGAAAACGCTATCTACCTCAACGCCGAGAAATACGCCGACACTATCGCCAAGCGCTTCTCACTCACACCTACCGCCATCGCCACGCCATACCGCCACACGACAGGAAGCGGCAAGGGAAATTCCGCTCCACTTAAGGCTGCCGGAATACGAGACTACCAGAGGAAATTGGGCTGCCTCCTCTTCGAAGCCGTAACCTGTCGCCCGGATCTATCCTACTCCGCGAGTCAACTCGCCACCTATCTCAAGAAACCCGAAGCAGAGCACATGGCGGAGCTCGATCGCGCACTGCACTACTTCGTGAGCACATCGACGATTGGCCTAACTTACTACAAGGGCGAAGCTACGACGACGAAACTAATCGGCTACGTCGATGCCGACCATGCTGGCGATTCTGATAACAGGCGTTCTCGCACCGGCTACGTCTATCGTCTCGAGCCTATCGGACCTATTTCCTGGCAGTCGAGTAAGCAGGAACTAATCGCTCTCTCTTCAGCTGAAGCAGAATATATCGCCCTCTGCTCAGCCACCAAGGAAGGACTTTACCTTCGCGAGTTGCTGGAAGAAGCAAAGTTAGCCGAGTTACCCAACTTCACCGTGTTCTGCGACAACCAATCTGCAATTCGCATCGCCAACAAAAGCGGATTCGCGAACAGAACGAAGCATATCGCTCTGCGATACTTCTTCGTAAAGGACGAGATCGAGAAAGGGAAACTCGAATTATCCTACTGTCCCACGTCTGAGATGGCAGCCGATTATTTGACCAAGAAACTCGGAAAACAGAAGTTCGAGTACTGCATGCTGCTGACTGGACAAGGTGTCGAGAGTCTAAGAACAGGAGTTGAAAGGTGGGGCCTAGGCTTAGTAGCCTAGGCCCTAACTAGGTATCGAGCGGGTTTTCCTTAGGAGCGATGTCGAGTGAGTTGTGAGAGAGAAATTGGAGAATGTGTTTTCACTATAGCATTCGAAGTACATATAGCAAAGGAACACATGAAGAGGTGCACCACCTACAAATTTAATAACTACACTACAGCTAGAACTACATGCAGTTATAATAAATATAATTCTGACATCCCCCCGTAACTGCATGCAGGAATAGCTAAGTGCCAAGCACAACCTGCAGAGGTACACCAACGAGCAATAAAACAAGCAACAGCAGGTACTGCAGGCGGGCTAACTTTGAAAGGTTACCCCCTCCATCTCCTCACCCTCCTCCTTCCCCTCCCCCACACTGCTGCAGAAGCAGCAGAGAAGGGGGGAAGAGAGGAGAGGTGGAGGGACGGCTGCTTGTTGCCTCACACCCGCCACCCCGGTACCACTCCCCCTGCTCACCCACATCCTCACACCCTCCCCCCCCAGCGGCAGCTGCAGCGGTGGGACTGAAAGAAGGAGGAGGGGAAGGGAGAGAGTTGACCCCACGCTCCAACACCCTCCACCCCCATACCCTCCTCCCCACGGCTGCAGGGAGACAAGAGAAAGGGGGGGGTGGGAAGGAAGAAAGCCGCAGAGCGGCGAAGAGGCGTCGGTGCAGATGGGTCAGGGGCGGCAGCAGGGAGTGCAGGGGCGGAGAGGCCCGTCGCGGGCCAGTGCCACGGGGCGCACGACGGGTAGGATAAAAGGGCCCGATCGTGTGCCTCGGGGCGCACGACGAGCAGGGCACCATCGTGTGCCTCGGGGCACACGATGGGCAGATAAAGGGCACCGTCGCGTGCCACGGGGCGCGCGACGGGCAGGGTAGGAGTCACACGCCCGTGGGCGGGACAAGGTAAAGAATAAAATCGTCACGCGCCCTAGGCGCGCGACCGTAAAATTTTAGCAGCGGAAGTAAAGCGGGCCCACAGGCCAGGACGAACTCAGCTCCGATAACATGTCGAGAGTCTAAGAACAGGAGTTGAAAGGTGGGGCCTAGGCTTAGTAGCCTAGGCCCTAACTAGGTATCGAGCGGGTTTTCCTTAGGAGCGATGTCGAGTGAGTTGTGAGAGAGAAATTGGAGAATGTGTTTTCACTATAGCATTCGAAGTACATATAGCAAAGGAACACATGAAGAGGTGCACCACCTACAAATTTAATAACTACACTACAGCTAGAACTACATGCAGTTATAATAAATATAATTCTGACACAAGGCCACGTCACCATCAGCGACACTCCAGAAGCGAAGGGGAGTGTTGGGAACAATAAGTCTTAAGCGCCTCTGTCGTGTCGAAACTCAGGACGCTAGCGAAGCAGTCCGAATCGAAGCATCGCGAGTCAACCCTCGGAGGTTAGGGTAACCGCCTGGAGGTTACAAGAAAGTCAAAGGTCAGCGACCTTTGACTCGACAATTACAGCGCGACAGCAAGGACACACAACTGACTCGACATTGAGCAGTTGCCCGAGTCGCACTGTATCGAATCGCAACAGTAAAACGGTTTAAATCTATCTATTCGTATTCCTTGTACTCTTATATAAACCTTGTACTCGCTTGTTTAATTCAACTTACTTTGCCCTCACACACCAGCGCAAGGTGGTTCAATCATTCTTCACTTCAACGCTTCCGCTATTACAATCCTACTCAGTCCTTAAACTCTACAAAGATCCTGGGGCTTCTCAGCCCAACAGACTTGACAAGTATAGCGCGGCAGCAAGGACAAACAACTGACTCGTTATTGAGCAGTTGCCCAAGTCGTCACTGTATCGAACCGCAACAGCAATAACAAAACAGTTGTTAGCTATGACCTTTCATATTCCCTTGTACTCTTATGAAAGTCTGTATCTCTTTGCTTTAATTAATCTACTTTGCCCTCACATACCAGTGCAAGGTGGTTCACAGACTTATCATCAAACGCTTCCGCTATTACATTGTTCCTACTCAGAGTTTAGTTCTGCAAACATCCTAAGGGCTTTTCTCAGCCCAACAGTTGAAAAAGAAGCACCTTTGGAGTCACCTTTGGGCTTTTTTTTTTTTTTTTGTCTTTAGAGTCACCTTTGGGCATGTAAAAAAGAAGCTTGTGTGCCTGCTTGCAACAAGGTACGCACGTTGAAGCTTGACCAGCTAGTCAATTGTGCGGCAGTGAGTTACCTGCCAGACCATGCCGCTCTTATCTTCCTTGTATGTTTCAATTCTTATGTTCCGCGCCTGCTGCTAACTGTGAGAAGCAAATGGCTCAGTTTCTCCCCCCTGCCCTGACAAAACCACCCGTCTTCTTTCTTCCTTTGTGTCTCTGCTTGCAGACTCGAATGCAGGACCTTGTAATTGCTGCTGATGGTTACAGAACGAGAGGAGGTATATCGATGAGCGGTTCAAGGAAAGCACGGTCTCCTCCATGACTGGCAAGCTATTAAATATATGTTTGCCTTGATTTGGTGTTTTGTGTACTGGTATAAAACCATAGAACGTAGCTGATCATTTTTCCAGCGTGAAAGCATACATCCGAGGCCACAAACCATGTGCACCCTACAGCAATTAAATAGCACATCATAATTATCTACCAGCAACAATATTGGCCGTAAAACATCACAAGAAAAACATTGAAGGTATTTTAACAGAAAGCAATTTACCTCACTACCGCAGATAAACGAGGGACGCTGCTGTTGGCTCCCTATTCCCGCGATGTCAGCAGAGGCACGCAAACGAAAGATTCCTCTTGCCATGACGCTGATGACGAAGATAAAGATTCCAAGAGCGGCGTTCATTACCGATTTGAAAGGTTCTGAAGAGATAGAAGCCTCTGCACACCGCTAATTATCTCCCCAAACCATTTGAGGCTGTGTGAGTCGCCTCGCAGCTGCCCAATCAGAGCGAAAACTCTGTTCTGCGCTGTTCTTGTGGGGGTGATGCAGCGTGAGGGCGTATTCCTTTACTTCGGGTCATCAGCACTTCGGGCCATCCGAAACTGTGGGATCCAATCGCAAATTCGGAATCAAGAGATTGGGGTGCATTCCAATTTTCCTATTGGATCCCACAATCTCGGAGCTGATGACCCGAAGTGCAGGAATACTCCCTGAGTCCGTTCCGTAATACACACGCGATGCCATTCGTGAGCTTGTAGGAGTAGCCAAGACAACAAGTCTCACGAAGCTACCTAGTTCGCCCACACGCGCTTTTAGATGTCGAAAACAATAAGCCAAGTCAAGAAGTCTCACGAAGCCTACTTGTCCTCACGACTTATATACTTTCACGGACCTTCGTTCGTGTGGCCGTACCATGGCTGGAGAGACGAAGAACTCTGACTTGGCGTCTGAAGTTCCCGAATTCGTGAGCCTGCCGAAAGGCATGATGGCGGTCGCTCGACGCGCAGTGCTGCATCCCTCCGCCATTGCCCAGAATTGCAGCACCACCTTCCCTATGCTCGAGTCGCATTTGGAGAAGGTGACCGTTTTTTACACGTTCGGTGCGCTTTGTCTCATTACTTGGAACGCTGGGGTAGTTGTTGACAGAAACGCAGCGCCAGAAGCAACTGGCTTGAGTTACAGCCGATGAGGGGCTGGTCAGTTTGTTTCCACTTTTCAAGTCTCTTCAGAAGGACCCGTCCTGAGTCACTCAGAATGGCCCACCTTTTACCCGTCCTTCCCCACCCCCTTCCGTCCTGTCCTTCTATTATTACCAGTGCGGAGCAGAGAAGGGCGGCTGTCCATATTCAATCTATTACTTCTTCACGCCTCTCCTCACCCGCGTGGAGTGTGGGATTCCATTCAAGCTCTCCTCGCCAGACAAAACATGTATGCTTGTCCGTCTTCCCTGAGTCCTGTAGCATTTCAAAGAAGCTCTCTTCACAAGGGCGCAGTTTGGGCACGAGAAGGAACATTCAATCATTGCTACGTTCTGTGATTGAAAATATAAGGTACCGCATGTCTTGTTTTTTACTGTCCTTCCATTTTGTACCAAATGTACCTTCTGAGGCGTTTGAAGTGATTGTACATTCTAGTTTCATGGAACCTCGCACGGTGTTGATTTTGCCTGATCTCGCGCGCTGTTCAATTCTCTCCCTTCTTATAAACCAAATGTGTAGTGCCGGACGACCCTGCAAACGGCATCATTGTGGTGACGCATCCTGAAGTGAAGGCAGCAGCCATGTGGCACATTGGGTCGTACGAGAAATTGGGGGACGCGTACAAGGCTCTTTATGAATGGATTCGCTCACAGGGAAAGTATCCAGGTAGTCTCTTGTTTGAGGAGTACTACACCAATACAACAGACGAGAAGGACCCTGCTAAATATAGGACTCGTGTATACATGTCTTTGTCTGATGGCTTTCTGGAGAGCATGTCATCTTGTACCATAACATAGCTTTACATGCATAGTATCATTGAAAAGCTTGTAAGCAATGTGTGTTGTTAACCAGGGCCTCAGATATCAGGAAAAAAACCCTGAAATTCCTGATTTTGGCAGCCGTTTTTCAAGCTACCCTGAAAAGTCAGAGTTGGGATTTTAGTAGGACTGATCTTTCAGCGTTTTTTTATTGGCCACACTGATATTTCAGGTTTTTTTCCCGTTGTACACTGATGCCACTACGTTGTAACGAAACCGACACTGAAAGCGAATCTCACCTGTGACATGTCACCTCGACCGCAATTGCAGGGAATCTCAGATTCCCTGTATGTAGGCACCCCGTGGCGGGACCACCCTTAGAAATGTTGCCTTAGGTTCACGTTGAGAGCTGTTTTTTTGGCGGGGCGCCTCACACCATTGGGCCGTTTCGCTGCAGCATCCAGTGTTGGCGAATCCGAATGTGGCATACATGTGGTGCTGGTGGGCTGCCAAGGTTCCTGCCCCGTACCCATCATGTGCGATGCGTTAGGTTTGGGCTGTGCTGGCAAGCACCGTGCCATCCTCCACGCCGCCCAGCCCATCCACCGTTTCTGCCATCTAGAAGTAGGACTTTAAAATAGAGTCAGTGTTTTTGCAAAAGGTACACTGATGCATCAGACTTTAAAAATTCGCAACACTGACATTTCAGCCTTTTTGTTTTTTGGGACACTGAAAATCAGAGTTAACACGCAGGGGGACCCTGATGGGGTGACGACCCTAAAAGTGAATCTGAGGCCCTGTTGTTAACCAATGCACCATTTTGGAGATCTCTGTAACTAACAAAGCTCATGCACATCACTGAGCCCTGACTGTCCAGTTTCAGTCAGAATCCAGCCCGTAGCCCTGAGCAGCTTGCAATGCCTGCACCTCCCTCTCCTTCATCAGCATCAGGTGACTCAGCTCATACAATTCTGCATCCAATGATGTCTTCTCCTGCTCCAATGCCCAGAACCGGCCCATCCAAGCCTCCTTCTCACGCTGCACCACCCCCACCTGTTGCTGCACCTCCACCAATAGGCCCTCCAATCGCTTTACCTGCAGCTGTTTCGCCTGAGCATCTTCCTCCACGGCCTTGAGCCTCCCGTCCTTCCATGACAGCTCCCTCTCCAGCGCTGCAACCTTCGCTTCTGCCTGCCTCAGTCCGCCTTTTATTTCCTCCACCTCCCTCCCCTTCGCCTCCAGGTGAACTTCCATGCCTTGCCTGCTCTCCATTGCCTTGGTCATCAACTCATTCAGTGTCTTAGTGTCAGCAGTCAGTTTTGCAATTTGCTTCTCCTTCACCATCACCTCTTGCTCTTCGGCCTGCAATTGTTGTCTCAAGGCGTGGATCTCAGCATCCCGCATATTCGCAGCTCCCTCCATCTCTTCAATCTTCGACTGCATCTCCTGAATCATCTCTTTCAACTCTGATACCCACTTCCCCAATTCTTCAGCCTTATTTCTAGATTCTGCCAGCTCCACACCGACTTTCTCCTTCTCTTCTTGGACCTCTGAGATCACTGCTCCTAACACCTTCTCTATCTCTTTCACAGCCTCATCCTTCTGTCTCTCCATCTCCACAAACCGTGACTGCAAATCTTCTATCACCTCTTCGCTTTTCCTCTCCCTTTCCTCGCCAGCAGTCTTCAAGCCAGTCAGGTCCACAATCTCTGCTCGCAATCGGCCTACCTCATCATTTAGCTCGTTTCTCTCCATCAATAAACGGTTATTTTCAGCCTCAACCGCCATCAGCGCTTCTTTCGTCTGGCTGACCTTGTCAGTATGATCTGCCAGCTCGCCTTCCACAGACTTCAGCTGCAAAGCTTGAGCTTCAAAGGAAGCCTTGGCGGACTTGAGCTGACCTTTCAGCGCCGAAATTTCTCTGAGCTGATCCCCCATTAGCTTCTGAGCCTCATCTATCTGCAAATGTCAACGAAACGGAGTTAAGGGAGCTGGAAGATTGCTGGGAGGAGAGAAGCCCTACATGAAATTGGTAAAACGCGAAGCAGTGGGGTCAACGATTGCTGCTGAAGATGTCTACTTATACCTGTGATGCCGGAACAAGCCCTTTAATTCGCCAGCCTCCTTCTGCATCACCCTCGGCTTGCATTCTCATAATCTGTTGATGCTGTTCCTGGAGCTTTCGCTCAGCCATGCCTAGCGCTACTTCTGCTTCTCTCGCTCCCTCCAACGCCTCATCCCTTTGCTGCTCCACGATTCTCATTCGCTGCTGCTCGCTGTTTAGAACGGAACGGAGCGATTCCAGCTCAGATGAGAGCATCTCTTTATGAGAATGAAGAGACGTAAGTTCAAGTCGTAGATTAGCAATGATTTCCGCGTCCTTAAAATCAGCCTGAAAGGTTCAAGAGAACACGTGAGACACTCAGAAATGATGAGACTGAAAGGGACGGATGCGCATCCCGAATGTCCGTTCACGCGTCAATGTGTAATTTACCTCGTGAAGGGTCTTGTTTGCTGTCGAGCTAACAGCAGACCGAGGCTCGGCTTGTGAGCAAGAAGCCTTTGTACCACCAGCAGGACTCTGACAACGGACATCTTCTGTTGCAACTTTTTTTTCAGCAGACGGCGTAGCTCTTTCGTCATCAATATCTTCCAGCGGTATCTCCGAAGTGCCCGGTTTTCCTCCCTCCAGAAAAAATACTTTTTGCTTTAAGATTTTATTCCTCGACCGTTCTTCCTCAACGCGATGCCGTAGTGTACGTATCGTCTGGTCCTTCGACAGCTTCAGCCTGTTGGTCTCTGCTAGAAGCTTCGCAACTTCCTTCTTCCATTCCTCGTCTCTCTTAACGAGTAAATCTGCGACCTCTGTCGATAATCCAGCTTTCCTTTCCCCTTCAACGGATGCGTCGTCCTTGCTCGTATCTAGCATGTTTGAAATTGGTGTCACTGGTTCAGGAGCAAATTCTGCCGGAAAGTTGTCACAAACTGAATCTGTCGAATCTCTAGTCTCGTCGCTTCCTGTGTTCCTGGCGCTGCAAGGCACAGACGAGTACGTCCAACCACCGATCCACGGAGCACCTCCAGTCTCCTTGCGTACCGTAACGTGACAGAGGATATCACCACCTTGTCTTCCCATTGTTTCCATGCTTACGGTGGACTATAGGAATGGTTGAAGGACGCTGATAGGACGGACGTAACGTGGCTAGAAAGATTGACTATTTCGTCGTATCAACTACGAAGCCATCGGTTTGCTCGCTAACCACATGATGACGGATGTCACGGCTATGACAGGCAACGGAGTATCCAAAACTTCAAGCCCGCTCCGTCCGACACTATTGACGCTATCCTACTTGAAACTCGAATGATCAAAGCTGCGCAACTTCGCCTTGAAGTAACTGACGTAGTTCGCTCACCACTCCTCAGGAACCATTGGTCCCTGTCATAAAATCTACCTAGACAACTGTATCAGTGTCCTGGAGTCTCAGCAAAGCAGTCATTTCCTCAAAGCATACATACTTCTTCTAGAGTTAGCTGGTGGACAGACATGGGGCATCAGGCAGGACGGATTGTTGGGGATCATGCTGAATCACAATGGAATCGACAGACTTGACGGCTGCATAACATCGCGAATGTGATTGGAAGAATACCGTGTCGGACAGTCAGGAATATGCGCTTGGCTGGAGACTCAAGGGAAACAACAGACGGATGTAGGGAAGAGTGGAAAGTAGCAGGCAGTCCGACACTGCTGACCGTTTGACACGCTAATTGAAAGACAGCTCCACAAGATGTTTGAACGGCAAATTCGAGGGACAAGTTTGCCCGGACCGCCGCATTATCCACAAACTGACTGACGTCCTGACAGAATTGGAATTCTGGCGGGAAAACCCTACAGACAAGCTAAGGGTGTATAAAACACCGAAAACCACAGTTGCCCAATAAAGCTAAACGTAAGATTGTAGCGGTTCAATTTTATTTTACATCTTAAATGGTGAAGAGCCACTCCGTATTATTTTGTTTCTACACATTGGCTGACACAGCCAACCTAAAAAAAAAATGAAAAAAGAAACACAAACCTACGAATCAATCCGTGCTTTTTTTTGCGATTGCTCGTCGTCCACATCCTCAAACACGAATTTCTCTTCTTGAAAGTGCTTCCTTACTAGGTCAAGTGCCCGTCGCCGATGTGATATTTCGTTCTTGGTCTCCTTCGGCATTTCCGCATAACTGCCACAGTGAAAAACAGGCAAGACATAGCGTGAATGAACAACGGTATGATTAAACCATAAACCAACAAAAGCACAACATTGAATAGGAAATGGATACCCCTTAGCAACCATAGAATAATCAACTTACGACAGAACTCACGTTTGCTCAAACCCATCAGGTTGAAACACAGGATCCCAGCCAAAATCCTTAGGGCCTCTTGCAGGGACTATCTTGCCCTGGTGGATGCAAGGGTAACGATATATGGGCTGGTGATTAAGTCAAAGGATTCAGATAAGATCTTTCATCTATGTGGGTGTGTGGGTGGAGATGCATAGGTGAGTGCATGTGTATGTGTGTGCGTGTGTGTGGGGGAGGGAAAACGAAAGGGGGTGAGGGAAGAGGGGGAGCAGAAGGCGGTGTGGTGCGATAAACTTGCATTACTGACTCACCCCTGTTGCCTTTTGGCAACCACACTACAGAATGCAATTTGGTCCCTACCTGCAGCTTGCACCACTTCTCTACCCCATGTCCTTCCTTACCTCTCTACACCATATGCCACACCTCCATCCTTACCTCTCTACACCGCATGCCACACCTCCATCCTTACCTCTCTACACCACATGCCACACCTCTATCCTTACCTCTGTCCTTCCAGCAAAGATCGAGGATTCATGCTGGGGACCCAGGCAGAGGGAGAAGATGCGGAGTGCGTAGGTGGACTTGGCTCTGGTTTTCCCTCTCTCTGTTCCTCATGATACACCTCACCCTCCATACCCTTCTACACCATATGCCATACCTTACATCCATATCTCTGTCCTTGTAGCAAATCTCAG